CCCACCACCCCTCACCCTCTTACCACACCCTCCTCTCTGTTTTTTCAAATCCCTTACCCGCCTCTTGTCTAGTTTTTCCTTTTCAATCAGCCCGTTCTTCTGAGACTTGTCTGGGCCTAAATGCGAAATTTTCATCCCCAATTTCTCAGCCCACTTCCTTAGCATTAACTCCTCATCAAATTCAACCTCCCCCTGATCCTCAACTTCTTTCTCTCTATCTTCTTCCATCCTTGTTTTCCTGCCATCATCAACATCAGTTGTTGCAACCTCCCCCACCACATCCCTATCTCCCCCGACAGTCTAGGCACCTATAGTATTTTGAGGCTCTCTATGAAAATGGTTCTCGGTTGTAGTGTCTACAAGGATAGCACAATCATCATTAGTAACCAAAACCGAATTCACACAATTACCTTGGATACCTGGTAAACCTGGGTTAAAAATAGGATGACTCAGTGAGGGCAGACAGATGTCATCCCCATATCCCGACTCAGTGGGTGTTGCTGGTTGATCAATTTCTTTCTGAATCAAATGGCCTTGGCCTGGATCTGGCACTTTAACCTTGATTGTCGCATCAGTGTTTATCTCCTAGCTCGCCTCACTCAATCCTAAAGATGCTCCCTGACACTGTCTATATCTCTGGTTTGGTTCCTCCTCCTTTGACGGCAAGTTTTCTACAACACCCGAAGACCTTATGTCTGTCAACAATTCCATACTAGACTGAATCTGACCGGCTTGATCGTCTAGATTAAGCTTAAAAAAAGCTTCCATGTCACCCAGCTCCAGTTCCAAACCTTGGTTGCAACCAGCTAAGGAGTTTTCATACGAACTAGAAAACTCTGATTCTTCCTCCGAGTCACATCAATCTGACTCGCTAACTGTCTGCGTATCAGTTCTCCGCCTAGAGAATCTTGGATTAGGGAGCTCTGTCACCCTCTTTGGCTGCGGGTTCCATCTCAGATCACCCCCATTCTGCCTCCTGTTCGAAGTCAGAGAAAAAGAAGACGATGATAGACCCTTGGTTCTATCTATCAAAGGTCCCAAGGGTTGTCTCACGTGATGACATAAAGCATCATGTGACACCTTTGTCCTATTTTCTATTCGGTGGGCCGAGTTGAGCAGGTTTGAGCCAGCTCGGACCACTGGCTCGTCTAAGGTCTGGTCGATTAATTTACTCCCTAGTGGGCCCACCCCATTCTCTATTCCGGCTCCATTCATTAATATTTCTTTAAAAGAGAAATCTCCCGCTTCCCTAACCCCGTTTTTTGAATACATTTCTTTTTCTGGAATCCGACCCTTCTAGACTATTGGCTTTTCAACTTCCTTAGCAGTACATAAAATACCATGTTTCTTACGCAACTGACTTGTGTCTTCTCTGTCGTCACCACGTGTCACCCATCCAGCCACGTCACCATCTTCTTCAACCTTCGAACTCCCATTCCAACTGCGACGCTACCCATATCTTGCTCCATGAGCCCTCGGCAAACAGTTCGAATGACCGAGGTACTGCGTCAGGCTTTACTCCTGCAATTCGCAATCCAACAGCCTTCAGATCTATTTTCTTGTAGGAGATGAGAACACCACCCAACGCAGCTGCAATTTTCTCTAGTAGGCACTTTCGCAATAGATTGAAAGGCAGACCAATCAGCTTCAACCGAAAGTCACCATTGTTGAAAGTCTTCGAGTTACAGGAGGGACACTAGTTCTCCACCATTATAATGCCCTCCTTGGTTTGAACTGTGGTGAAACCTACCTTTTCCAACCCCACATCCAGTACCGCCTTGTTCTCTTCAAACGGTATGAGGACTAGTTTCCTCCTCCAGTCTTCACTTTCTCCTTCTAATAATATCTTGGGAACAGGAGTGGAGAGGGAGACCAATGTGTTCTCATTTTCCTCTGTATCAATTTCTAACCCCAACTTCTCCAGTCTTTTCCTTCTCTCCTTCATTTCTTCCTTCGGCCCCACGTTTCTCTCCATCATTCTATCTTCTTCTTGCTTCCGCTTCTCCACCTGCCCTTGAAACTCTATTCTTCGAACACTGGTGACAAATCGATGCAACTCATTAGCAACCCCGATCCAACCCCCCATATTTTTGCCTTCTGGTATAATAATCATTTGTTTTCTCCCCTTTTCAAATCTCTCTTCCAAGGACACGAACCAGCCTCTTGAGTTCCTTCTTCTACTTGCCAAATATTCTTTGCTAGGTATTTTGAAGTTATCCCTCCAGTCCGAGCACCAACTGACAATCACTGCTCCATCGAGGAAGGTTTGGAACCAGAATATCGCCTCCCCAACCAGAAAGACTGTCCCTCTTCTACCTTCCATAATCTTTAATGTGAAAACCTTATGATGAAGCATCTCCTCCACCAGCAGTTCCTTGGATTCCACCTTTTAAGTGTCTTCTCATTTTCCTTATCGGTGAAAACTCTCCTTCTCCAGCACGAACCATCTTCTTTTTATTTTAAATCATGTATCTTGGGGACTTGGGCTTCTGCAAATCACTCCTAGATGTAGTTCAAGCAAAACCAATCCTGGTCTATGGTCGCCAATGAGTTTCCAGTGGGTTTTCCATCCAGTCAGTTCTGCCATTTCAGAGGTCATCGGTGGGTTTTCCATCCAGTCTAATTCCCTTGACAACCATCGCTACCATCAAAATTCAACTTGATAAAACCACTAAGAGGGGACCCAGATGGCCTAATAATACCTTAAAAGGAGCAGAATCAGCTATCTCCAAGTCACCAACATGAATGTTCTCAAAAAGCTTTAGTGATTTCACCCAATGGATCAATCTAAAGTGATGACTTCAATTAAATCATTTCCATTCTCATTTTTGAGAAAATATTTTTTTTTAATTCATTTCTTCCCGAATTATCCAGCAAACAGTCAAACAACTACAGTAGAGTTCAACAAGAGCATAAACGAATAAACTATGAACATTTGGCAAAAGGCTTCACCTACACCCAAATAAGGAGCAAAACCGTTCTCAATTGCCAAAGCAACGAGGCAAAAAATTAATAATTGATAGCAAATTTCAATGTTGACCTTAAAAGCACCAATTTGAAGATAAGGGTAAATTTGATTTCAGTCCACGTCAGAATTCATAATGCAATAATTCAGTTTGGGTCAATGTAAGGGGAGAAAGATATAAGAGAAGTGGAAATAAATACATTTAGGAAATTAATAAATGAATTCTGAAGGTAGATTAGACCATAGAAAGGCGTTGGAGATAAGCACCGATAATGTTTTTTCTTTGCAGTAAGTAATATTTTTAACAACGTACTCCCTAGTCCCTACACATGCAACACAAGGATCTGACGTAATATTTAACTATGTAACATGCCCCAACAGAGGTGTTGACTGTTGAGGCATAACAAGGCAAGGTCGGTGAATATTTCATGATTGCGTAGAGGTGTAAATCAGGCTGTGTTGTTCGTGGCCCCATACAAATTTGGAACTGTTCAACATGGTCTGTGGGTTGTATTAGGCTCGGTATGATTGTGTGGGTCGTGTTGGGCTTAGAGTTTTAAGTCTATAAACCAAGTCAGCATGGCATGATCGAGTGGGTCATGCCGCCCATGGCCTGTATGTTAGAACTGTGCATACATTATTTATATATATATATATATATATATATTATATAATATATAATATATTATATAAATTAAAATTATATAATATATTAAGAAAATAATATATATAAGCAAATGTATATATTAAAGTTTATATAAAATTAAAATTTTAATTTTTTTTCAAATTATTTAAATAAATAGCTTTGACCCGATCCACGACCCGACCTGGCCTGAGGCTTGGCCCACGACACGACACGGCACAGCACTAGGGGTGGCAACAAGCCGAGCATACTAGAGCTCAGTTCGTGAGGCTTGCGAGCCGGCTCAAAATATTTATATATATATATATAATAAAAATATTATAATTCTTAATTTTTTAAATATCAAATAAAAAATATTTTTATATATAATTTTTATTTTTATAAAATATTTTTCTCAAAATCGAGCTCGAGCTTGGCACTATTTGGCTCGGCTCGGCTCGAATCCACCCCTACACAATACAGAACCACACAGGCTTGGGTCGTGAGCCGTGTCAAATCGACCCCCAAGTTATCCCAAGGGAAGGCGACACGGCCTTGGATAGCCCGCGGGCCAATACGACCTGTTTTACACATTGAGGCATAATAAGGCAAGGTTGGTGAATATTCCACGATTGGATGTTCACCCTCATCTGCCTAGAGGTGTAAATCAGGTCGTGCCGCCCATGGCCAGACACAAATTTGGACCAGTCTGGCATGATGATCTGTGAATCGTATCAAGCCCGACATGATTGTGTGGGCCATGCTAGGCCTAGGGTTTTAGGTCCACAGGCCGGACTGGCATAACACGATCGAGTGGGCCATGCCACCCACGGCCTACATACCAACACGACCCATATATATTATTTACATATATTTGCATATAATATATTTATATATTTTATGTATTTATATATATAATATATAACATATTATATAAATTATAATTATATAATAATATATAGTATATAATATATTAATAAAATAAACAATTGTTTCTATTTTATTATACTATTTAATTATTGTATATATGAGCAATTATATACATCAAAGTTAATATAAAATTAAAATTTTAAATTTTTTAATTCCCAACCTGGCCAGGGCTTGACCCACAAACCAGTCTGGCCCACGACACGACACAGCATGAGCCCACACGAACTTGGCCGTGTCAGGCTGACCCCCAATTTATCCCAGGGGAAGACAGCCCACGGTCTGGCACGGCCCGTTTTACACCTCTACATCTGCGTCATGCTTGCGATTATATAATATCATGTTCATTTGTGCCCATCGAGCTAATTATTGAATTGTGGCACTGATCAAACAGAAAACGTAAGCCAGCATAACTTTTTGCCAAGAAATTTGTCAATTCAATAACCTCTCTGTTAATTCTTCATTTTATGCCACCAGGCCCACCAATAAACAAAAATTGGTATTTACTCCAAAAAATGACAGATTGTTACACAGCTGCGGAAGCATTCCGATTTCACAAGCAAAATTACATGGGCAACGCCAGTATAATGGCTTAAGTTTCCCGATTGACACAACATAAGATCAAAGACTTGGCAGAATTAAGATTTGAACACGAGAACTTCCTCTCTTTTCCTCATTTTATTCCTTCCTGAGCACACATGACGCTCTGTGAATTGAATTCCAATCCATCGAAAGAATAGAAGACATTATCTTACATTTGGATTCATGCCAACAGCCTTGCCTCCCCCTTGGTAGCCATCAACAGCGATACCTTGTAAGTAGGCCATTGCAAGTTCATCTCCGCTCCAACCCTGCTCATATGAAATGATTTATTTTGTAAGTTCATTATGTACTTGAGATTACCACTTAACTATGTCACTTGACATTGTACAACTTGTAGAGAGAGAATTAAAAACTATTAGAACAGAGATATAATTCTGTTAACAAGAATGATAGAACACTGCAACCACTTCACGTGGATGAATAGAACATGTAACCACTGAAAAAGTTAAATTTATTAGGAAATTTAACAGAATAAACCAAGGCAAAGTTGACCATGGACATGAACCAAGAGCTGATGCCAAATCATACAAAAGAAATATCCATACAATAAAATTTTTGTGAGAATGGATATAAACAAAGATATTAATCAAACAATAAGCAGTATTAAGTACCTCAAGTACATTCATGATTCTTTTTTGGAGGGTGGGGGGGTTGGAGGGTTGGGAAGGCGTACCAGTGTATCTCCTTAAAGAACCATTCCCATTCATAGAAATGGGAGCATGCCTTCTTTCTTGCCCCGATGATAAAATCTCCTGCATCCTCTCAGGCCAGTCTGAATTTAATCTCCTGGCAAAATCTTCTACCTCCCTGTATTCATCAAGGATATCTTACAACATTGAACATGAACAATGACCTTTATGTAGTAACAAGTCTAACCACATTCCTTTGATGAAACATATCCAGTAGTTAAACATACTATTGAGTGGAGACAACTTTCCATACAACCTGATAACTTTTTTGTTGGTGCTACTTCAAAACAGCATATAATGCTTTAGGTTTTTTTTTTGGATGAATTATAATGCTTTAGCTTTTTTATGAATTAAAATGCTTTAGCTTTTTACCAAGTTGAAATAGGGGAACATGATGGATGTTATCCTTCTGGTAAAATAATATTATATATACATCTAATTTATCGTAACAAAACAATAAAAACAAATACTGAGCAAAACCAGATTTCACAACCTTTGGCTGACATATGTAACAAGTCAAGGTTGTTTATAAACACAGATCATTTAGGCTTCTTTCCTAGACAACCTCTATTATGTCACCCATGTTGAGTTGAGAGATTATGCAGCCAAATCAGTCAATCAGCTAAGGAAGCCTCTACATTGGCAATGTGTTTCATATTTCGAATCCATGTTTGTTCTGTACAATGCTGTTCATTGGACTTTCACCAAAGCGATGCTAGCAGTAGAAGCTTCTATTCAATTTTTTAAAGCCTAGAGTAGAGGCTTAGTTAGGCCCATGCTGGGCTGGAACTTGCCCAATCAATATGGGGTAGAGAGGGGAAGAACATGTTCAATCATTCTGAGCCACACCACCATTCCTGTCACATGCAAGATTCTTGGTCACCTAGCTATCTAGATGGTTCATTCAGCAAGTTATGACAGTTATCAATAAGTTTGGCTGCAAGGACATGTGATCTCCTTGAATATGTGTCACCACATTCTTGTTATAGAAGGCTTTTTGCAGGCAAGGCTTCCCATAAAATGGATTAGCATCTCCTTTCCACTAGTTCCTCCCCAGGTGGACAAACAGGAGAACAGGGATTGTCACCTCTCATCCTTGTGGATGATTGTGCATCACTTCAGCCAAACATGCAAGACTATCCAAAATATTCAAATATAATCCATCTCACCTATCAAGTTCTTCTTTCATTGCAGGATCAAGCTCATCATCAATGTCACCATCATCAAATTCAACTTTAGCAGCAAGGCTATCAACTGCAGCCTCTTGTATTTTTGATGTTTTACTGGGGCTCGGCTCAACAGAAGATAGATCAGCTGGATCCTAAAAGATGTGAAGTTGATCAGCATGTTAATAGTTTTAATGAGATACGTGCAATCAAAAGAATATCCTGACAAATATCAGAAGAATTACTAACCTTCTTATGGTTTTTGCTTACATTGTCTGATGAGACATCCTTTGCTTGATCTTTTCTTCTCCGATTCTTCTTTTTGTGTTTAGAAGTCTTAGGTACCTTTGAATCTGTTTGAAGAAGAATTTAGTGCATATATATAAGGCCAAGTTTTAGATAAGACAATTTTGAAATTCCGGGTCTGAAATTGATAAATGGAAGGATATATTCCATGATAACCGTTCTGCAGTAACCAAGATGCACATCAATACTGTATTACACGAGTATGAAGTACTTTGCACCAACATGTCACTGCATGAGAGAGAGAGAGGACCAATTGGTAGATCGGTAGTAAAATTTTCTTCCACACTCCTCTTATGACCCTTTTTAAAGAAGAGAAGGAAAAGAAGAATTTGAACAATAACAGTCAAGCTGAAAGTATAACCCACACGTTTCTCTTTAAAATAGTTGAAACAGTTCATCTGATTCTTGCAATATTTCAAACCAGTTCGCTGAAACTCAACTCAAAATTCCTGGTATGAACTGGCTGAGGGTCAATGGCTTCTGATTTAATGTTGGAAAAAAAATCCATGCTAAGCTCATAATGAAGAGCTTCTTCACTTTTTTGATCAGTAAAAGCTCAGTGTAAAGATTTTTGAACCTAACAACTTACAAAAAAAACTTCCAGTTCAATAGAGGTTATGCAACATATTATCCATGACACAAATCGCTAAACCATTGCATTTGAACTAGGACGGAACCATGACTATGCAGATTTTCTGCATTTTCTCTTTTTTAAGGAGCTTCATGTCAAGAGCCTTTTGTATATCATTTGTCACTAAACTAAAGTCAGATTTGGGCAATTTAATCCATGGCAGAGGTCTTGGCTGCAGTTACAGGAAAATGCTAGTTTGCCAAATAGTTAGGCATGTCCTCTCTAACCATTGAAGGCGATTCTGCTAGTACAATAGAATGGTTAAGGGAGAAGGAAGGAAGACCTTGGAGGCTAGCACACTTTCTGGCTGAAGCTAAATATATCTTGGACAGAATGAATGTGAAGCTGTTTTGGATTCCTAGGGAGGTAAACACTGTTGCTGATAGCCTAGCAAAATCAGGGGCTTTTAGAGAAAATTTGTTTACTGGCAGTACTTTGCCTTTGTATTCTGTCTCAGCCTTTCCAGGCTGATGTATATCATCTCATGTACCCTTTTTAGTTATTAATTAACAGTTAATTTCGCTAAAGAAAAACTAGGAATCTGTAAGGCAAGTCAATGCAAGGAATAAACAAATACACATGGGGATTAAGAGCCCTAAATTTTTTTAATAAATGGTGTATGAATTGTATTACTACATTGGCAAAAACAGGGAGCCACCCAATGTTGAAATCTCACATGGTTAATGAGCCCTAATTTTAGCTCTACCTCTACATACACTCACACTGATCCAAATAAGTTAGCATTACATATATAGAGGAAGTGTATGGTTATTATCCCCCACTAGATGTTTACGGGCAATTGCCTAGGTGATTATGTTACCCGGATGTGGGAAGGACACCAATGGTAAGGTATTAGATATGAAATTTACACTAAAAAAATGAAGTATCCAACTCGATATGACACTCTTGTACAGGTATCCAGGTATCATAGCTAGGCAATGCTTCAACTATATTGGATGGCAATGACTAAGTCAAACATTTGGCAAAACTTTCAAATTCTTGGATGAACCATGATTTTTTTTCATTTTATTTTAACAATGTGTTTCTTTTTTTACAGTATATTAGAAGCTTTGAGTTCTTTTTGCTTACAACAAATGTAACCTTCACCATGTGTATGTTTGGTTCTGTAGGAGTTTCCTGAGGCATTTTTTTCGATAAACATTTATCTGAAAAACGCTACTTTAAACGTTTTTTGCTTTTTCTATTTGGTTGGACGTTTTATGGCCATTTCAAGTAACACCCCATAAAGTTGCTTTCTAACTCAGATAAAGCACAGCATCAGCAATTCATTTCAGGAAATGCCCAGGCATTGGGGGAAACATGAATTAGGCATTTCCCCAAATGCCCCATGCACATAAATCAAAGCATTTCAGTTTTCTAGTGTTTATTTGATAAACGGTGAAACCAAACAGTGGTTTCATTGCAATAAACACCAATGCCTATGTGGTGCTGATGTGGTGGCATTTTTTCAATAAACACCTACAAAACCAAACATATACCATATAGTTGGGGAAAAGGCTAATGATGATGATGCAATACAAATCAACAACTTAATTGACTTAATTGATCTTCCACTACTTGGGGCTCAATTCAAACAAATAAGAGTCCCTGACATTGGTCAAGTTGGATAGGTTTCTAATCTCTCCAAGGCGGAAGAATGCTTTTAACATCATAAAGAAAGTGCCTCTCCCTAGACAAATTTCAGATCATAAACCTATTCAGCTGGTTTGTGGGAAGCAAGGATTTAAAAAGTCTCCCTTTAAGATGGAGAATGTGTGGTTTGAAGAGGAAGAGATGGCCCCCCTTCTGAATTCAAAATGGTCTAATCTCCAAATAGAAGGTACGAACTCCTTCATTTTTGCAAAAAAGATTACATTAGTTAAAGATACCTTGAAAACTTGTAGGTTGGATGTCCGAGAGAGTTCAGAATCAGAAAGAAAGAGGTGTCTAGAAACTATTAAGGAATTGGACTTACCTGAGGAATCTGGTCCACTATCAGATGAAGAAAGGAAAAGAAGACTGGCAGCAAAATTGTCACTAGACAACCTAGCTTTAAGGGATGAACTGAAATGAAGGCAAAGAGCCAAGGTCAAATGGCTCAAAGTGGGGGGACAAAAATTCAAGTTTTTCCACAAGATAGCAAGTGCAAGAAATAGGTTTAATCAGCTTGAGAGAATGGAATTTGAGGGTCAGGTGGAAGAGAATGGGGCTGCAATGAAAAGTATTGCCACCAACTATTTCTCAGACTTGTTTAAGGAGATTTATGCTAGAAGACCTCTCCCAGTTGATCTTAATTTTAGGAGGATTTCAGAGTCCCAGCCAAGGAAGCTGGAAGCCCCCTTCACAGAGGCTGAAATATGGCAAGTGATTAAGAATCTGGAAGTTGATAATGCCCTGTTTGGCATCCATTCAGAGAATTGTTTCTGGTGATTCTTCTGATTCTCTAGATGAGAAACATGTTTTGGTTCAACCAATTTTTAGAATCGTCTCAAATCTGGATGATTCCCTTGCAAAATCGAGTGATTCTGCAAAGCAAATTTTTTTCACTTCTTAGGATGAGAGCGTCTCATCCCGTTATTTCTCACTACGTCCTTTAAGTAAAACAAACACGTATGATCAAACCACACGAGAGAAAGGGTAGACTAGTAATTTCTCACAAAAACATAATCAAACTCGAGAAAACCCCAGTGCCCCTTCATTCTTTCATCATCCTTCGTTGTTTCTCTACTTGACATATCTCCTGTTCAATGGCACAAAGAATCTTCTCAGTTGGTGATCAATCTCTCAGATACCATGATTGTCCTTCATTTTCAATATCAGAAAAGCCTTTTTCCCCTACAAAGTCTACAGACCATTCATCCAAAACAGAGAGTGCTATCTTCATCTTCTTTTGCAGCAGTATATACCCACACCCCAACTCACCTTGACAGTAAATAGGTAAGTTCATACAGTCTCTTCCCCCATGGTTATGATATGCAAGCTTCTCTGTTTTTTGCCCCCTCTAACAAACTCTGGACTTTCAACAGGTTTGAAATCCATTTTCGGACCTGAAAATCTTGAGACTATTTGAGTTATGGAATTTCTGGTCTTGTGTTGAAAAATGATATAGCTTTCCTGATATAGTAGCTATTCTTAGTTTGAAAAATAAAAGCATACATGGTAAGTGAGTTCCCCAAATTTGGTTTAACGTATAAGTGAGTTCCCTTTCAGTTCTGATGAGAAATATAGTTGTCAAGGCGATGCCTAGGCGATAAGGCACCCTTTGAGCCTCGCCTCGCCTAATCGCCAAGCAGTTTCCTACTTCCTACTATAAAATACTTTTTTAATCATTCTTTTTTGAGATTATAATTATAAAATAGACATTATTAAACTAAAATAATCATTTTGTGTGTTCATATACTAATTTCTTTTTATTATTTTCTTATTTATTAGGGTTTAATCAACACAAACATTGCTAAATGCTGTATTGAACCCTCAAAGACTTAAACCTGAACTAAGGAAGAACTTAAAATTTTATCTAATCAGCACATTTTCCTCTTCCATACTACCAATACTTTTTATTTTCTTATTTTCCTATAACAAAAATAAGGGTTCAGCCCCTCTATTTTTTGAATTTTTTTTTGATAACTCCCTATATTTTTTGAATTTTTTTTTGATAACTCCCTATATTTTTTGAATTTTATTTTCCTTCTTCCTTTCATTCTCACGAATATGTTGATTTTCATGAAAGCTGTACTTTAATATGAAATCTATACTTTTTTATGAAAATCATGAATAATTATTAAAGAAATATGGTTATGGTACCTAGGGAACTACCCTAGGATTTATGCTTTCAACATAAAAAATCCATCGACTAGGCGACTAGGCGACAAGGCGCCCCCCAGTCGCCTAGCCTTGCCTTGGCGCCTTGAAAACTATGATGAGAAAGCATATGGAATTTCTTGTCTTATGGAAATTTTCTTTTTATCCATGGGACCAAGAAATGGACCGCTTTTGGGTAGATGTTTAGGGGAGAATTCTTAGATCCAAAGTTTTTCTTTTTGTATGATCTGCACAATGAATAAGATTTTAATTGATCATTTAATAATCAAAAGCATACCTAATAATTGTTTGATACTTAGGAAAAACCGTAGAAGGAAAAGGAGGCAGATTGTTTGGATCATGTTTTGAAATTTTCTTGCGTTAATGATGGGGAATGCCTAGTTGAGACACTCCATCATGCTATCTGCTACTGTCTCTTTAAGAAATGAATATTTGAGCCTGAGAAGGCTCAAAATCTGCATCTGCATTAAAAATCTGCTATATTCTCTATGTGACTTAACAAGTTGTTCAATATTTCACTGTGCACAATTGTGTATTATCTAGTGGAAGGTGAAGTGATTCCAAGAAATTGGTGTATTCATCTGCTGTATTCATGTTCTTTGAACTCTTAACTCCTAGTCTAAGTTAATATAGTTTGAGTTACCTTGTATAGTTCTGAAATTTGATTGCATTTTATCTTATTTTTAGATTAAGTACTGCCTTCAATAAATACCTATATTATTCATCAAACTTGAATGTTAAATGTGATTTTATAGATATCTGTCCATGTAAGCCCACAGAGATACCTATATTATTCATCAAATTTGATTGTGTAGTTCTGAAATGTGATTTTGTAGAATCGATTCGAAGAAATTGGTTGCTGGCAAATGTGATTTTATTTCTAAGAAACAAAAATCTGATGATTGTGCCAAACACATCTGGCGATTCTCTGGATGAAAATTCTCAGAATCCATTCTTTTCTGAAAGGATGCCAAACAGGACCTAAATCCTCAGGGTTGGATAGTCTCACTAGCCTTTGCTATAAGAAGTGTTAGGAGGTGGTGAAAGTGGATATGTTGGAAGTGTTTCAAGATTTCCATCAAAATGCTGCTCTGGAAAGAAACCCGAACTGCACTTTCATTTCCTTAATTCCTAAAGTGGAAGGTGCAACAAACATCAAAGATTTTAGACCCATCAGTTTGCTGAACAGATTTTATAAAATCTTGGCAAAGGTTCTAGCAGAGAGGATAAAAAAGTCCTTAGTACTGTGATTGCAAAAAATCAATTTGCTTTTGTGTCCGGTAGACAGATGTTAAATGACGTTCTGGAGGCAAGCTAGCTAAGAGACTCAACAAAAAGGGAGGGTAATCCAGGGCTGCTTTGTAAATTGGATTTGGAGAATGCTTATGACCATGTCAGCTGGAAATGTCTATTGAAAAGATGAATTTTGGGCAGAAATGGAGGAATTATCATCAAAGTGTGTTTCTTCTTCGAAATTTTGAAGTTTTAGTAAATGGAGAGTCGGCTGACTTCTTTAAGCACTCCAAAGGCCTAAAAAGCAAGAGGATCCCCTCTCTCCCCTCCTCTTCATTTGTGTAATGGAGATTGTCTCTGTTTGTCAACCGAGTGGGAGAAAAGGGGCTGTGGAATGGGTTTGAATCAGTTCCAGGAAGAGAAAAAGTTCAGCTGCTTCAGTTTTCTGATGACATACTATGTTTTATTGATGCTGATGTAGATCAATTGGGGATCTTGCTTGGGGTGCTGAGCTGGTTTGAAGTTGTATCTGGTCTGAAAGTAAAGTGGGCAAAAAGTAGAGTAATTCCAGTTGGGAAGGTAGATAATCTCGAAGCTTTAGCAGAAGTTCTTGCTTGCCAGAGTGGCTTTCTGCCGACCATGTACCTAGGCCTCCCTTTAGGGGCTAAATGCACCTCCTCTACAGTGTGAGACCCGGTGGTGGATAGGTTAGAAAGGAAATTGGCATCTTGGAAAGCCAAATACCTACCTTTGGTGGATAGGTTAGAAATGAACTCCTTTGCCAAAGTGTTATCTGGTGGGGACAGTGTGAATTTTCCTGCTGATAAAATATGGAGCCAGATTCCCCCTTCTAAGTAAATGCCCTGTTTTGGGCTGTTGCCTTGGATAAAAACCTAACTAAACAGAATCTGGTCAGAAGAGGTATTCTGATTCAGAACCTATCATGTGAGGTATGTGGTCAATCTCAAGAGGGTAACAATTATGGGACCATTTCCTCTCTGCTGAGGGTTTATCCTGGGTCATGCCAAGATATTGAACCTGTTATGGAGTTGGAATCTGCAAGGCCTCTCCAAGCTGGCTAAAGGTGTGTGGTTGGCTATTCCTGCAGCAGTGATCAGTACCATCTGGATGGAAAGAAACAGAAGAATTTTTCAAAACAAAGGAAAGGATGTAGACTGTCTTATCTCTTGTACTGTGGGTAAATTAGTGTCTTGGACTGCAGCTGTGAATGGTCTCCAGCCTAGGGTCCTTGGAGCTCAGCTGAGGTCTAAAAGTGTGTTTGAGTTGTAATTTAGTCTGGGATCTTGAACTCAGTCAATTTGCTCCTTTTCTGGGGCCCCTTGTACTTCTCTGATTCAGTTAATAAAATTACCTTACCTTTTTTTCAAAAAAAAAAAGCAACTTAGAGAGCACATTTTCTGGGTTTATCTTCATTAATTGATGAGCCAAACAAAACATGTATTTTTCATACTTGGAAATCTAAAGTTGAAGAAATGAATTTGATTATATCATCTACACCTACATTGTGCAAGTGGTAAAGTCAAAGATAGTACCAACATAACAACTGATATAATGGGATAGATTAGAAAAGGGTGGAGAATGCTCCTCACTTTTTTAGATATTTCACTATAGATTTCTCCAAATTCAGAAACAAGTTTACAATTTACAATTTGGTTTAACTAGATCCACTTTGCAATTCATGATAGGATTACAATTTCCAGATCATTGGATTAGTTATGAGATTACCACAACCAATCATTTTATCACAGGACCATGTTAGTGTTCTAGGCAAGGTTCTTGTTGGATGCATCTCACCTGAACTTGGGTGTGCCTTGCCAAGGCTTTATAAGACATTGTATTTGAATTACATGTGTAAATTCAAAATTACATAGAAGGCAAATAATCTAAACCTGCTAGAACATTAACTATATTTCTTACAGGAGCTATAAAATTGTTTAATTTATGGAATTCTAGACTGAACCTGGATTATAATTGGATTACTTGATATATCGAAATATTTATAGAATTATTATTTTCACACACACATGTAACTGAATATAGGAAAAAAACAATTTGCCATGCCAACCATGTCAACACACCCAATTCCAAGTGACAATTCAGCATTAGTTTTTTTTTATCAATACAATCCAGCATTAGTTCATTGACTGGGTTTTCCTGCCATGATCTAGGATTTCACTTATTTTCTGCAATTACTGTCAGGGTAGAGAAAATACCATATAATCAATGCATAAACTACCATAGCCTCATATTAATTATGAAAATATTTTGAAATATATTACCCATAGTCCAAGCGCCCTTAGAAATATAAGTACTATATACTATAGAAATATTACATGTTCATCCTAAACCCAGCACCTCAGATTCTAACTCATTCCTGTTTACAATTTACACCTTCCCTTGCTAAACAATCAGTCAAACTTTGTAGACCATTCAATCCCCAGGCATGTCGTGAGATTAGGAGTCAATGAGGTTCAAAGAGTGCCTGTCCAGTGTCCACTAGAAATGAGGTTCAAAGCTAAGCATTTTTTGACATCATTTGGTTTTTAACTCAAGAGATGTGGTCCAACAAAGGGGAAGTAGAATCATCAACATTTTCATTAGGTTTTTCCAACTATAAGGTTTCTTAACATAGTTGTAAGTTGTGGGGAAGCTAAGATAAATTGCAATGATACCAAGTCCAATAAGAAGAAAAAGGAATGGAGAGAGGAAAAGCAGGAAAGAAAGGGATCTGGATACAAGGTAAAATGAAAACATTGCTCAGTAATACCTCCATCTCCTCCATTAATAAATGATAGAAGGTCATCAACTGAGCGTTCATCAACATGTTCCTCTTCAACCTCGACATTCTGAAAAAGGATGGAATGCATACTTGCTGTTAGTTGGAATCTAATAATGCATTCAATTATATGCGCATGAAGACAACAGAAAAGCAAAGATGTAGTAATCACCTTTAACTTCTCCCTCTCTTTTAGTTCTTTCCTTTTTCGTGCATAAAGCCGATTCAATAGCCGGATCCTTGGATCATCAGCAGTGTTTCTCAAAGGCTCTAATTTCTCCTCCTGGAACCATAATATCCACATGAGAAATATAAGCAAAAAATGCAAATGTGCAAAAACTTATATATAGAGAAAAGCCAAATACTCCAAAATTTTTGTGGGATGAGGTGAAGGGCAGCAACATTTGTGGATTAGACAAAAGCACACACAATATTTGCAATATACATTAAAAAACTGAGGGAGGAAAAAGAGAAACTTCTTTCAATAAGCAAAAACCTCAGTAAGATCATCAGGTAAATGGAACGTCTCTCGTATCTCCTCAGGAGTTTTTCCTTCAATCATTCGCGCGAGTGCACGACTGGTAAGATCAACCAAAGGCTTCAATTGGAGGCTGTCAGCAGCAGACGTCAATTCACATAACCGCTTTGTATCTATCCGAATGAACTTCTCATCAAAAGATTTCCGTTCCTAGGCAACAAAAATCACATTGGCTCAACCACTCTTTGCTTATCCAGTTAAGATATTTCTGTAAACCATAATAGATTTTTTTAACAAAACTTTAAATAGGAATTGCAGTCTTTCCCATGATTTTAAATCTGGTTTTTATCTACTCCCTGATTTCACCAGAAATAAAATGCAGTTAGGGAAGAAGGAAAAAGCACTCAAGAAAGAGCAGCTGACATTCATAAATAGCCAGAAAAATATTATACCTTATTAGAGCGACCCGGTACTTGATGAAACCGGCAATAATCAAGTATTAAGCTCAAAATTGATGGATTGACTCTTTGTGGAAGTGAAATGGCATAGTTCTTAGAAGATCCCATGCCTGTCTGAATGATTTCTCGACAAATCATGGGGCAAAACATAGCAACCTCTTCTTCTACTTGTTGTATTGAGCCATCAGCAGTTTGGAGCCAGATGTAAGACTTCATGACCTAAAAAAATCATAACATTAAAAACATAGTCTCAGCAGAAATAAGAAACAAAAGCAAGTGCCAAATTTCTGTGGCAGACAAGATAACACAAAATCCAGCAAGTACCCAAGTCAAACCAACAAGTATATCATACAAATTCAGAATCATGATTGATAGGCTAAGAGCCACAGACATGGCCAAGGGCTTTTATAAACACACGTGAACAAGACGGTCTCAAGACCTAGGCCAGTGCCCATGCCCACATCCCACAACCATACCCAAATAACATTACCAGTGTTTAGAAAAACGGACCGGACCGGCCAGTTGAACCATGACCCGGGCCCTGAACAGTTGGGTCATACCCCAACAACCGGACTTGCTCAAAACCCGCTGAAAATTGGCTTAACCGGAAAACCAGTGAACTGGTCCCAGTTTTTTGAAACCACCCGGGTCCATAAATAAGTGAAATTTTACAATGTTGTTAACAAGATTTGAACTCGAGACCTCTTATTTTCACAGATTACTTAATTACCACTAATCCACCTCTTTACTAATGCTAATTAATGACTATTTATTATACATATTACATTATTATGCACGTATTTTAAAGAAAATGCAAGTTAAAAGGCTTGAACCCTAGTCATTTGTTTTAAAATTTAAGAAACTTACCATCCATCCATCATATTTGTAATATATATTATATATAGTATTTATATGACCCGTAGTATACATATGTATATGCCACATCATCACGGTTTGACCCCGGTCGAACCTCTGACCTGTGAACCTCTCCCTTCTCCAGTTCTATGCCCAGTCCGATTCTCTAAACATTGAACATTACACTTCCAAACAAATTAATGCATATCCTGCAACTAAATCCATCCTATAGTTTGAAATGTTGAATTCTCTCCCTCTAAAGGCAACATGGCACTGAAAATAAGAAATATTAACATTTTTAAAAGCTCCACATATAACATACCTCAGGTTTGATTATCGCCATTTCACTTTCTGACATTTGATGATAACCTCCAAGTCTGAGAAAATAATAACTAAAGAGCTCCAGAACAAGTACAATCTAGCACCTGAGACCTACAGATCTGAATGTATCAAAGCAAATGTAATCTTCTCACTCTTCAAAAAGTCGTGATTATTTAGCGGATATAGACACTGCTGCAATGCTAACCGAAATGGCACATTTCCCAGAATTATATAAGTGAATATCAGCATTTCTTCTCTGGAGAGCTTCTTCAAATCCTGTCAGTCTACTTGCAGATGAAGCCAAAAAGAACATGGTCCCAAAGTAACAAGAAAATTGCAATCAGGTCATGCAACATATAAAGTCTTGTGCCCATCAACTTGTATTAAGCAACAGGTAAATAAATAAAGAATGAAGAATGGTTTCTGTTCCTAAATGTTTTGTGTTGTCCACCAAAATAAACATTTCTAAAGAATACAAATTAAAACCTCTTTTAAGAAATTAAAACAAGGTGGATGACATAGAAAAACCAGGAAAAGAAGTTAAAACAAAGCCTTAGAAAGCATCCAGTACCACCAACAGTGTGCAAAGAAAACTTGAAAATCACAAAGTTCTTATTCAAACAGAAAACACAACATAACAGGAGATTAAAAGGTAAGACAATTTATCAACCTACTCAAAATTCTCTTCTGAACTCAGTCTTACTTAAAACCAGCTCTGAACCAACACCACAAGAAACATTTCTCCAGATAGAATGTAAAAACAAAATAATCACTTGTCAAGATAAAGATACTATTCCGTATAACCAATGCACAACAGAATTTCAAATGCATGCAAACAATATCCGAGCAATAAAACAAACCAGAATGCTGTTCAAACAAGTTATACGGAATATCTGCTGGAATTCATCATAATCTCTGCTCTTCCACTAAAACTAGCCATAATTTCACAAACAAGGCACCGCAAATAGCCAAATACAGGTAACACGAACAAAAAAAAAAAACGTTTCTCAATATAAGACAATAATCACGTAAATAAAGGAAAAATAACACTTTTATATATGTAACAAAGACAAAAATTGCAATCAAATACTCCCAAGCATGCCAAACACTTGCCAACCACAAATTAACCCTAGACAAATCAAAAAAAAAAATAGACACAAGGCAATAACTAATCTTCGAGTGACCAAATAATACATCGAAAATAATTACATATAAGGATTAAAAAAGTCCCTAAACAGGAAAAGCGTCTCTAAAATAACGAGAAGACCGAAACCCTAATCCCTTTCCAACAATAAATTGAGTCGCACGTATACTGAATCTCGAGGGAGAAATATACATGTAAAGAAAAGTTCAGTCCATTACCGCCCGATCCAAAATTAAGAACCGGTTCTAAATCAGTCCAGAATTAACAAATATTAAACAAGGTTTCAGCTTGCATTTCTGTCCGTAAAACGATCTAAGAAAGAGAAAAAAAAAAAAAAAAAAAACAAAGAGGTGGGAAAAACCTTGTGAAACAAAATGAAGCCTCGAGTAGCCGATGGAGGAAAGGGAAATGCGGGTGGCAGATGAAATAGAAGGCGATAGGAGACTGGAGGGAGCTTTGAATTCACAGGAATTTGGCGGTTGAGAGAGGAACAAAAAAAAAACGGATAACAATAGACAGAGGCAGATAAAAGGTGATGGGGGACAAGCATCGTTTTTAGGGTTTCAGAGAAATCTCAAAGTCTCGACCACTTTGGATTTGGGGTGGGGGATGGGGCTGCAGCGTCACTATCCTGCACACGTGAACATCCGGGAAACGTACCTACACGCGTGAATGCCGGCTAGGGTTTAAGGTTTCATCGCTCCCGTCAGCCCATGGGCCGCTGTTGGGTCTACCACGCTTTAACTAAGTAGCCTATTATAAATTCAGACTCAACTAAAGTACTGTTCGACAATTATTGGCAAGTCTTTTTAGAAAGATCTTTTAATAACTCACATGGCCAAAAATATATTGAGCTATTAGTCTTGTTTTTAAAGACAAAAGCCATTTGATAAGCGAATCAGTATATCAAGCTTTTCTCAAATTTTGGCATTTTTTTATCTTTTTGGTCGTTTCGCACATGTGTCTTCTCATCTTCCTAGCTTTTGATTATGAAACAAAAAAAAGATCGATTTTTAGTCTTTCAAGCTTGTCGAAGCCCATAAGACCACATGGAAAGACTTGCCAAATGCCGCCTAAATCTAAACAATAAGTCTTGGTCCCAGGGGGTGCAACTTGGGTGGGGATTGGGTTGTGAATTTGTTAAATTTTAAATGGATGGTTGGGAATTTGTTTAATTATCAATGTATATGAACTAGGGGTAAGCATTATTTAGTTAAAACCGAATCAAAAATTTTGGTTTCGGCCTTCAATTTGGTTATTTCGATTTTTAGTTAATTCGGTTTGGTTTTTTTGGTTTTTAACTATTTCGATTTCGGTTTCGGTTTTTACAATTAGAAACTCGATTAACCGAAAAAATGAACTTTGTTATATAGCATGTAATATATATAATATAATATAATATAATATAATATAATATAATATATAACATATTATATTTTATATATTCGGTTTTTAAAATTTTGATTTATTCAGTTCGGCTTTTAATTGAATAAACCAAATGCTCACCCCTTATTCTAAACCTTAACCCGAGACCAATGTAATTGAAATACTTCGAATAGTGTTTGGTTTGAGGGAAAATAGTGGGGAAATTAACTCAATAAGAATTATTAATTATAATAATAATAATAATAAATATTTTATAATATTAAATATATTATTAATTAATTAATAAGTTTATTTTGTATTTTTAATTACTTTTATTTTATTTAATAATTTAGCTACATTAATAATAAAATAATTATTTTGTTTATTCATTAATTACTTAGTTTATTAAGTATTAGATTTTTTGTTAATTATTTATTAGTTAATAATATTTTTTTGTTAATTATTTATTAGTTAATAATATTTTTTATTGTTTATTATTAATTATTAGTTAGATATTAATTATTAATTATTTATAGTTAATTAATTATTATCATTAGATAATTTTTTAATTTCTATTAATTTATACTTTATTCATATTTTTATTTTGTCAATACCTATAACTTAATGACTAATGTTAATGATTTAATATTAACTATTAGGGCAAATTTATTAAACTACCCTTATGGTTTAGCTAATTGACTAAGTTTACCCTTACTGTTTACATATTGTTTAAAGTATCCCCACTATTTTCCCTTTTATAGTTGAAATTCTTTGAATAGTTTTTGCTTTTTTTTATTTGCTAGTACTATTATTGCAAATAAGAAAATTTAGATGGCCTAAAATTGGTTTGAAATGGATTTTACAACTTTTCGAATGCAAAGCAAGTGCCCTTTTAAAACCCTAGCAACTTGAGGATGTAGACCAAATTCTTGTTCACAGACCAAATTCTTTGGGATGCTTGCTTAATCTTATGCCTTCTTTGTCTAAGCCTAGGTTGATATGGCATTGGGAAGGTGAGCTTAGATATATAAAGTTCCATGAGAGAAATAGCTAAAGGGTATTGGGGTGAGTGAGAATGGATTCAATGTTTTCAAGCCATCGTTGGCCCAACCAATCGAACCGTTCAAACCCTTTTTTGGCCTCAAATTACATTTTTAATATTTTTTATAAATAAAAAATTAAAAAACATAAATTAAATATAAAATATACATATAACATATCTAAAACATATTTATACATTATTTATTGCTAAAATATACATTCATACACACACACACACACATACATACATACATACATACATATATGTGCTAACATGGCAAGGTCTGAACCATTCGACCTGGCTGGTCAAACCAATGACTTGTGACCCAAAGGCAAAAACGTTTTGGCTTTTGGGTTGGTTTTTAAAACATTGGAATAGATGATCGTACAAGTTTGAGAATGCAATTGCAAGTGCTGAGAAAGGTGGACTGATTGATCCCATAACATTGAAATCACTGTGATGTTGAACAATGTGAGAATGGTGGCAATGACCTGTGCCCATGGTAATGATCTCTTCAATTATGGCAAGTTTGTTGAAGCATGCTTGGCTTATGGGGAGGTTTTCAAGTTTGATCCCTTAAGGCCATGAATAAAGCTCGATAAGACGTAGATTCGTCATTCATTGCCCCAGGTTATCAACCTAATCGTTAAGATGCCATTAGATTCTTCAATATAGCATTCTCTCATAAGATGCCTATACTGAAGCTTTTTAAAATAGGAAAACATTGAAACCATTGAATTTTTATAGTGGATAAACAAAATAAGAAGAACAAAGGATTTTTGTTCAAGAAAAACCATCAATTACAAAAATCTATAGGTATTTTTTTTATTTATCTATAGAGGCTTCAGAGTTACAAGTAAGAAGGAGAAAATCGAAGAGGAAAGTGATTAAAACATACTTGGTAAGAGAGATATGCATTCTCATGCATCAATTTCAACAATAAGGCATTGCCAACACTGCTAGTGTTGTTAGAACAGAGTCTATTCAGTGGCAGTGATTTCGTTTAGATTTAGGGTCCATTCAGATTTAGAGGTGTAAAACGGGTCATATCGTGCTGGCCCGCGGGCCGTCCTGTGCCGTGCCGCCCTCCCCAGGGATAATTTAGGGGGTCGGTCCGACACAGCCCACGGCCCAAGCCCGTGTAGGCCTATGCCATGCTACAAGCCTAGGTCGTGCCAGGTTGGATCACAAGTCGATCCTTGGGCGTGGACCGAACCAGGCCAATTTTTTTTTTGTTTGTTTTTTTGACATTTTTTATTTATTTTATTTCTTTTCTAAGTAAAACTAAAATACTTAACTTTCATTTGGGAACTATTTGAAAAATAAGAAATCTAACAAAGAAATTAAAAAAAATGCTTAATCAAATAAGAAGTCAAAGAGACAAAGACTCAAAGACTCAAAGTGAATAACAAATTGGAAGAAAATAGGAATTTTATTTAATTTAAATTTGAATGATACAAAGCGTACAATGGTTGGATGAGTGAAATATGAAAATTGGAAATGAAATAAATTAATAAAATATAAAAAAATCTAATATAGTTACAAACTGAAAATAAAATTACGTTATTAAAAAATATCAAATAATTTAAACAAAATTTATAATAATTTGAAAAAATGCTATACAACTATTGAATATACAAAAATTATTGACTTCATCATTTTCTCTTATTGTTCTTGACTTTAATCATCATTAGCATCCAACCAATCTTTAAAGCATATGCACTTCTTTAAACTTTCATCATTCATAGGACTTCTCTTGTCGTCCAACACCCTAGTACTTGCACTAAAACAAGACTTCAATGGAACTATTGACACCAAAGGAGCTAGTAGATCACATGCCACGGCAATGAGAATAGACAATTTTTTGCATGTTTACTCCACTAGGCTAAAACATCAAAATTATTTGTTCCCTCCAACATGAAACAAGAATCACCTAAAGTAGAAAAATTTGCATGTAAAAAAAAAACTTAAGTTCAGTAAATGAACTTGTTGTTGAATTATCTTCCACTACTTCTGGACTCAAGTTCAAAAGTGGAAGATATATTTATACAAGTTGTAGAATTTTTATTATTCTCTGTTATTTTAGATTCATATAAACTATACATTTCAAATAATAAACTATTAGTTTCTTCTTTTTTATTTCTAATTTCAATATTCATATTTTCACATATGTTTCAAATAAAATATTTAAACCATATTTCCTAATCCAAGGATCTAATATTGTAGTTAAGCAATAAAGAGGAGAAATGTTCTCTCGATATTTTTTAAATTTATTTTCCATTATTTCAACAATACTTTTAAATTGTAGATTCTTTCTATATTTTGCAAAACAATCACTAATCATCATTAATTGATAAGCTAAATTACAACTAGTTAGATAATAAATACCCAATAATTCATTAGTTACATTATAAAAATGTTTTAAAAGTCTCCTATACAAATTGTCATTTCCCAGTCTTTCTTAAGTATAATATAGGCATTTTTTTATTATAAAAATCAGTAAGAGTTTGTTTATGAGAAATACGACTTTCTAACATAGCATAGGTAAAATTACATCTATGTTTAACATCCAATATAAAATGTTTATATTTTAAACCATAATTTTGACATAATATTTAAATTCTTGTTTTTCTCTTTCTAGAACTTTTAATATGTATAATACAATTTTTAATTTTAGAAATATGAGTAGAATTAAAGCATCCTAAATACATAAATTTAAGATGTGACATGCACATCTGATATAAAATAATTTACCATTTAAACATGATTTTAATTAAGATTTTAAAATATTTATTGTTAAATCATTATTACTAGCATTATCAAAACTAATAAAAAATAATTTATTACCAACTACATAAGCATGTAAAGTATTAAAAATACTTGCAACAATAGTTGAGCCAGTGTGTGGCCATTCAAGCTTAGTAAAACTTAAAATTCTTTTATTTAAAAGCCAATTTTCACCAATAAAATGACCGGTAACACAAATATAACTTATGTTAAATTTAGAAGTCCAAATATTAGAAGTAATTGCAACTTTAGAATCAATATTTGATAACATATAAATTAAATTTTGTTTATATGAATAAAAAACTTTTAAAGCATCTAATCTAATAGTAATCCTAGAAACTTTTTTAAATTGTGGTTTTATAGAATTACATAACCAGTTTTTAAGTTTAGTATCTTCAACTAACAAAAATGGTTGTCCAACATGTACAATGCATTTTTCCAATTCTTGCTTCATTTTTCCTTGAGAA